ACTCGCTTACGGCTACTTGGTACAGTATTGATAGAAGGGGCCACACTAGTGCCTGGAAAATCCCTAGTACAGGGTAAGTTGGTTTGGTGAACATCTTTGTCCATGCATAATTGTTTTCGAGAAGACTGTTGAATTCTGATTGCATTGAGTTTCTTTGAACTGATTCCTTGTAAAGGGCTTCGATTGCCTCTCTTGTTGCTTGTAGCTTTCTGAGCTTTAGTGGCTTTTGCTTTTCATGTGGTTTTTGCAGGGATAGCTCTGCTGCCAGCTTTCTTTCTGCTTTTGTGAGAAGGCTCTGCAAGCTCTATAGATCCAAGACGAAGAGAGGTATGGATCCTGCTCTCTGTATTTTGAATGACATTCACAGGGAATAGGGAATGTTGGTGATCATCATCAATGAGCCCTATTTTGATGTCTTGCAGTCATTCTGAATCGAGGCTAGTTCCGACTATAGGGTTGAGTGGCTCTGGTATGGAAGGCAGAGATAACCTTTCAAGAGCAGGTCTTCGATCTCTGGAGTTGCTATTAGATTCCTCCACCACAGCCACACTAGCATTGATCGACTCTCTGGGAGGATTTGGAGAGGGTGTGTGAGAGGACAAAGACCTATGGGAATTGGTTTGTTGTCCTTGGGGGAGTGCTATGTGTTGTTTTGGTGTACGAGCTTCCACACTCCTACCTGTGTCTCTGGAATTGAAGCTACGATGGTTGACTGACTGGGAGCCATCCCGATGTACTCCATTCCTATGGTGGGGAGGTGAGCGTACCAAACTTAGAGATGGGTTATGGAGATGATCATTCTGGTCTCATTGCGACGGCGAGTCTCTTAGATGTCGTGGTACCCACTCTGCTCTTGTATTCCGACTCGGAGTCGGAGCTCGTATGTCCTTCAAAGAGGTCCTAAGGTCGTGGTTGGAGAGAGAATGATATCGGTGAGAGGGTTTGGTAACGGCCTCTCTAACAGCTTTCCTCTCATCAAATCGTCTCTTGTCAGCTTCCAACCTATGAAGGGTCCTTTGTTGATTGATACCGAGATGTATTTCAAGTCTTTGAGAGGCTGAAACTAGCCTAGGACAGTTGGCCTCGTCATGGGTCAGGGAGAAGCAAGAGAAACAGTGTTTTTCCAGCTTTTCATATTCAATTTCCACCGGTGTGATCTCCCCAGACGGAAGTTGGATGTCTCTGGTCATGTCAAGTGGTTGAAGACCGTTTATTTACACACGAGCTCGTACTTGATCAGCATCAGTACCTCTAACATGGCCAATCTTTCTTGCGATGGCATATATAGTCTTGTCCGTCCAGTAATGAAGGGGAATCCCATGAAACTTTATCCAGAAGGAGATGGTAGAAGGGAACGGGTTAGAGATGATGGGTTCCCATCTTTGCAAGATGAGCATCCATTTCCTGAAATGATATGGAGCTTTTGAGAGGATCTCCTGGAGGTCTGCTTATGTGGAGAACTTGAATTGGAAGGTCTCACTGCAGAGACTTCTTCCGGTGACCCTACTCTCCATTTTCCAGTATTGAGGCAAATAGTCCACTACTGCTTGTGGGCGTTGCATTGAGGGGTTAGTGACACGTCCTATGAGAGTAAGATGATGTTGAGCTATTAGATCGGAGGTATCTTCGTCAGGGATACGGATTGGGGAGTGTTTGGAGGGTTGACTTTGGCTCTGTGAAGAAACCCATTTACCCTTTTCTTGTCGAGAGTATCATTGTGACATGGTGAGTTGAGAGGGGAGAACCTTGGCTATTGAGATTTAAGTAGCTTTGGAAAATTGAGTTAACCAAAAGCAGGGAGCCTTGAATCTTAGAGCTCTGAATGGAGAGTACTTTCCGAAATAGTTCTCAACAGTGAGTAAATATAAAAGCATAAGCAAAGTTATGCATACTGCAATAAGATGGGTATTCGACCCTATGTGAAGAAGAATGAGAAGGAGCTTAACCCATGGGGGTTAAAGAACTCTCGTGTAACAAACTTCGAAGCAAGAGAAGGGGCAGGGGCTGGTTCGGGGAGCGTGTGTATTTGGGGAGGAGCTGTCCGGCGGAGGCATCCTAACCATCCCGACAACCAGCGAGGAAAAGAGTTTCTCTTCTATTTTGGGATTAAAACAGGGTAGATTTAGATGGATACAAAACAGAGGATGTTGTTTAAGGAAATAAATCAGGTAGTTTGAAAAAAGAAATAATACCAGTAGCTCAAAACTCTCTAGAGAAAAGAACCTGAGAGAGTTTTTCTTTAGAGAGAGATGCTAAAGATCTCAGGGTCCTTTTTTTTAGTTTGACTCAAGCCTCTAAAAAAAATATGGACACTGGCTACTTGTAATTTTCTTTTTTGTAGCATGTGTTAAGGGGTAAAGAGTTGTTACATGACTTTTTTTTTTTTTGTAGTAATTGTTGAGGAGCGAGGAAATTATGTAGATAATTCATGACCGACTCCTAATTTTATAAGAATAGTCAAATTTTAGGAGTTTAAGACAATAGTTGTATCAGACAATCAATTAATTTGGAAAGCTCTTTAAGTCAAAAATTAATTGAATGCTATAAAATAAAGTCATAATTCTTATTTAAAATGTTACCAAAAAGGTTTTCTTTTAAAACCCAATCTCTATCTCTTACGTGAATGCACCATTTATGATTTATACATTTAAATAAAACGGTTTTATTCGATAAGTATAGCATATGGACCATGGTGATAGCTAAAAACTATAGTATAACTCAAATGCATAATTGATTATGAGTTTACGACAACTTTGTTAGTATTTTCTTCTGAACTATCATTCTTCTTCTTATTTGCACATAAGCCGATGTTATTAACGAATTAGTATAAAATTATACGTATGTTGTCACGCAATAAAGACCAAGTGACTAGTGGGCATATAACCCAACTGCTTCCATGTCCCTTATTAAATCACCAATTAATGCAAAACTTTAGTCATTCAAC